TAATTACTCTTTGGGTGAAGAAGGACTTCCTTTTATCTGTTCTAATTCTACTGCTCATTAATTTCATTGAGTGCCCATGAGTTCTTGTATTGTGAGAAAGGGGGAAAAGTTCTTCTTTCTCTACCTGATTTATGTAACCTGATGCCCTGCTTTTCAGTACCAAGTGTCAACCAGTATTGTACCAACTGCCGGTTAATTCACAGGCCTGGTTCAAGGTGCTGATGCCGACAGTGAAAGCTCTTTATTGCCTGGGACAAACACATTAGAAATCTCCTCCTCCTCCACTTCAAGGGGATTCCTATACTTAAATGGGGGATTAGACAGGGGGTTATACTTCCTATCAAGGAGCTGCGGTGGCTCAAGTGGTTAAGACGCTGAACTGCAGGCTGTGGAAGGTCGGCAGTTCAGCAGTTCGAGACCCGAGTGTGCCGCGTGATGGAGTGAGCTCCCGTCTCTAGTTCCAGCTCCTGGCAACCTAGCAGTTCGAAAGCAAGACATTGCAAGTAGATAATAAATAGGTACCACTTTGGTGGGAAGGTGACAGCGTTCCGGAGATATCTTTGGACAGCGCTGGCTCTTTGGCTTTGAAACGGAGATGAGCACCGCAACCCTAGAGTCGGATTCGACTGGCTTTCGAGCAAGGGAACCTTTACCTTTATACTTCCTATACGTAAACAGCAGATTAGACAAACTCATGGAGCATAGACCTATCAGTGGCCATTAGACTCTCCCAGGATCAGTTGCCAGCCTCCAAGTGGGGGCCGACAGTCTCTCAAAACTACAAATGTCCTCCAGACTACAGAGATCAGTTTCCATGGAGAAGATGGCTGCTCCAAAGGGAGGGCTGCACGGCATCGTATCGCTACTGAGCTCCCTCATCTCCCCTATCTCCACCCTCCCTTGGCTGTGCCCCCGAATGTCCACGGTTTTCCCAACCCTGGCTAGAGATTTGGGGGCAGACCCAGCTGGGTTCTTTATGAACAGAAACTCACTCCGCCAACAATAAATAGGTAACTGTGAATGAATGGACTCACAAGCTCTATTCCTTTGGGTTCTGGGGAACTGGAAAAGCCTCGTGCGTGTCCCAGGTCTCTACCTGGCAATGTGTCAGGTAGCCCTGTCATAGATCTGGAATGTGGAGGGGTGCCCTCCAATGCTCCCTCTAAGCTGAGGAGTCTTGTGAGCAAAAATTCTACTTTGTGAGCTGCTGGCATTAAAGTTGTGAGAAAGCGATTTGGCTACTGCATAAATCAGTTTGCTCTGGAGCCATCCCTTCCCGAGCCGAGACAAAAATCTGTGAGCCGGAGGCTAAAAAACAGTGAGCTAGCTCACACTAACTCAGCTTAGAGGGAACACTGGTGCCCTCCTCCTTGTTCTCAGCTCTTCCCTGCCCTGCTTCTGTGCGCTATCTCACGCCTGACCTTGCTGTCTCCAGCTGCAATTAACTCGGCTGGGAAACTTAACGGCTTTTGCGCTTTGCCCGCTTGCTTTTGCCGCGCGCGCACTATAATCATTGGCTTGCGCTCATAGGGGGGATGTTCGATTTTACTATAAGTCAGAGGCCCTTATACTGACGGTCATTCCTGACACAATCTGTACACGTGTTCTTTAATACTGGAAACGCTAATAAACAGTTATCTTCGTCTGAAGCCCTGTGTGGTGTGACCTGATTGAGGAGCCTGACATAATGATGCCCTTTTCTCTTACTCCTGGGCGGATACCAAACTTCTCTATGGGTAGTAACTACTGCCACCAACAAATATGAATGAGTATCTCCCACTAGATGGATCTGTATCTGTACTGCCATTTAAAAGCTCTACCTAGTTTCTGCATCTCCCACATTGCTCATACTAGCTAGCGTGGGGACAGTCTAGCTCACTGTCATATCAAAGGGATGGCCAGCTCACTGGCGTCCCCTCCCCTTTACTGGTCTTTGGAAAGTAGGAATGAATAGGCATGGTGTGTTTACAGAGGCCAGGCTCCAAGCACTCAAAGTTTTTCAGGGCCTGTAAAGCCGATCTATTCCACCAGGCCTTCGGCTGAGGCGGTGGACGCCCAATTATTTTGGCCTCCCCTCCTGACAATTGCCCTTTGAAACCTGCCCACGTTACTGACTTGTTACTGCACTTCGTCTGGCTGTTGGCTCTACTGGCTCTATTGCTGTTGTTTTAATGCTGCAGGACTTAGAAATTATTATTGTTTATTGATTATTGAGCTGCAGTGGCTCAAGTGGTTAAGACGCTGAACTGCAGGCTGTGGAAGGTCGATAGTTCAGCAGTTCAAGACCCGAGTGCCGCATGATGGAGTGAGCTCCCGTCTCTAGTTCCAGCTCCTGCCAACCTAGCAGTTCGAAAACAAGAAATTGCAAGTAGATAAATAGGTACCACTTCAGTGGGAAGGTAACAGCGTTCCGTGCGCCTTGGTGTTTAGTCATGCCGGCCACATGACCACGGAAATGTCTTCGGACAGTGCTGGCTCTTCGGCTTTGAAACGGAGATGAGCCCCGCAACCCCAGAGTCAGATTCGACTGGCTTTCGAGCAAGGGAAACCTTTACCTTTTATTGATTATTTTAAACTGTCTGGATATTTTCTACTGATGCTACCTACCCTGAGCCCACTTGTGGGAAGGGTGGGATATAATTTGAACTAAATAAATAAATAAATAGAGTATAAGAAAGTTTAATAAACAAAAATAAAAGAAGTACACATGATCTGCTCAAGTATCTGGTCAAGCAAGGATATAAAGAAAAGGTGAAAACATGCAATCCTCTAAACCCTAACATTTATATTTATTCTAAACAATGTCTTATTATGATAGGATAGTAATTCCCTGAAGCTGCAGTATTTACATGTCCAACAGTATTTTAGTTCTCATGCTGGTACTTCTCCCCATTGTCCTTCAAGTCCTTAGGTAAAAGTTTAGTTCTTTGTGGCGTGTGCCTATCCAAAGACAATGAACAAAGAGAAGAGTGATTCCTTCTCACTTTCTGAGAATTTACAGTCTCCCTTTGGGAGATCATCTCCCCATCCACAAGGTCAGTCCTGGTCCCCCTATCTCATGGGGGGGGGGATCTGTCTAGCCTTTCGGCTGTCCCCACCCCTGTTGCCTTAGATATTACATTTAAGCAAGTTGGGAGAGGTTAAAACCTCTGCAGAACTAATCTCTGGAGGGCTTTGAGTTTGGGAAAGAGATGACCCATTTCCTGTCACTTTCCCTTTGCCAGTCCTTTATAAAGTTTATATCTCGGCTACCTGGCGTTACATTTTATGACACACATGGCAAGGCTCAACAATGTCTCATTTATGTCCGATCTGGCCCTCATAACAAATTAGTTCAACACCCCTGTTCTAAACCCCACTGCTGGACCTCCTGATGGCACCTGGTACTTTTGGCCACTGTGTGACAGAGTGTTGGACTGGATGGGCCATTGGCCTGATCCTACATTGGCTTCTCTTATGTTCTTATGTTAGTCTTCTGCCAGCACTGCAACCTCTAGAGCAGGTAGCCCCAATAAATAAAACACTGAGTGGGATTCTAGGGTGGAAGGCATTTCTCCGCAATAACAATCAAGCAGTTTATAATACATTTCGAAATGAACAATAAATTTCAATTACAACATAATAATTCACCTTTCTTTTTAAAAATTAAGAATGGATATGAAGCATCGCAAACACCTCCAAAAGTAAATCTTCAAAAGTTATTAGTCTACAAAAATCTTGAGTGCAGTCATACTTGCCTGTATGGTACATTACTTTGAAAGGAAAAAAGGGACCCAAAACTCTCTTCTGATTCATACAGACTTCCCTATCTGGTCACTTGGATATGATTCTTACTCACTGTTAGCACCAAAGGTAAGTACTACTTGCAAGCTTGAGCAAAAGCCAATTGTTAATAGCAACCAACGTTTTATGCTTTGAAATATCTATACGTCTACCAAAAAAAAAGGACAATAAACCACGTGCAGAGCAGAAGGTTGATCCACATGGGGAACTCTATTTCTGTCTGCATACATTTCTCATCAGAGTGAAAGCATATATTATATTTTTAAAAAACACAGCAAGACATTCCCTTTTCTAGCAAATGCTATATTATACTTACGTTCTATTATTTTCCAGAAGAGACTTGAAAGTGGAAATTAATTCTAGGTAGGAAGTAGGCGTTACATAGTTGTGCCTCTGGAGTTCAGCATAGAACGTTTCAGACAAAGTAATGGTCGTAGTATGGAATTTTTTACACATATCAATGCAGCCGTTCCGGGTTTCCTCGGACATCTCAATGTCTTCCAGGGAGCGAGTGGCAACAGCCTGCAACGCATCTGATGGCCATGACTAATTTAAGGAGGAAGACTCAAATTAAATTTACTATATTTGAGCAAAAGAACCAAATTAAGCTACTAATCTTAACAACAACAACAAATATTGCATGAAGGATGTTTACTGGTTCAGTTAGGATGCAAATCATAGCACAAAACAACCTTAAATAAATGAAAAGATTTATTTTTTATACTACCGAGGATTTACAACTCTAAGTACGGTAGAGAGATTGTGCGATCTACAGAAGTGGTTCTCAGCCAGGGATACACATAACACCAATGGGCCTCAGAAGTAGCGTAGGTGGGATGCACAGTTTTCAAAACATACACCAGTTTGGTGTGAGAGCCAGTTTAGTGTAGTGGTTAAGTGCACGGACTCTAATCTGGGAGAACTGGGTTTGGTACCCTACTCCTCCACCTGCACCTGCTGGATGACCTTGGGCAAGCCACAGTTCTGTCACAGCTGTTCTCTCAGGAGCAGTTCTTGAAAGAGCTGTCTCAGCCCCACCTACCTCACAGGGTGTCTGTTGTGGGGAGGGGAAGGGAAAGGAGATTGTAAGCCGCTCTGAGACTCTGAGTAAAGGGCGGGGTATAAATCTAATCTCCTCCTCCTCCTCCTCTTTTTCTTCTAATAATAACAATTCACTCTTCCTCAATCTCCACACCCACCTGTAAGTGTGATGTTCCACCTCCTGCTGACCCCACCTGTCATAGATTATTTATCTGTGAACTTTTGCCAGTAGAAGGAATAGAATGCCCGCACACGAAAGGGTATATAAATATCCTTCTTGGGGGGGGGGGGGGGGGGGGGTGGTGGGCTTGTTGTTCTATCACGGTGGGATCCAGGTTCTCTGGTAGTGTGATTGGTGGAATGTAAGAGATGAAAGACTGAGAACCACTGATCTCCAGAAGCCACAATCCAATACACATTTAGAGTGCAGTCAGGCACCTTTAAGACCAACAAAGGTTCATTCAAGGTGTGAGCTTTCGTGTGCAAGGCACACTTTGTAATTTGACACATGAAAGCTCATACCTTGAATCAGGGGTCATTTCGTAGAAAAAGAGCTAGGGGAGCTCATTAGCATAAGTCATTAGCATATGCCACACCCCCTGACATCACCGGAAGTGTGTCATAAGGCCACACACCCCACCCCCAACGGTCCCGGCCGCCGCCGCCGGCCTTGCAGCTCCACGTACCTCACCCGGGGGAACTGCGATCCCCCGCGATCCCCCCCGAAATGACCTCTGCCTTGAATGAACCTTTGTTGGTCTTAAAGGTGCCCCCACTGGACTCTAAATTTGTTCTGTTGCTTCAGGCCAACACGGCTGACCACCTGGATCCAATGCGCAGTTATGCACACTTAAGTCCTCCCTGGGGAGTCCCAGTGAGAAAGGGGAACAATAAATAATGTAAAATGTAAATAAATCACATAAATAAGAATCAACGATTACATCTCCGTGGCTACCAGGGCTCTACTGATAGCAGGAGCTCCTTTGCATATTAGGCCACACACCCCTAGTGTAGCCAATCCTCCAAGAGCTTACAGAGCTCTTCTTACTGGGGCTACTGTAAGCTCTTGGAGGATTGGCTACACTAGGGGTGTGTGGCCTAATATGCAAAGGAACTCCTGCTACCAGTAGAGCCCTGGTGGCTACAATGCAGTTATGACGTCAAAGACTATAATGTAAGCCTCTAATTAGCTCAGGTCAGAAAATCGGAAAGTCCACGGAAACAAGATTCAAATTATGCCGATGGGTCATAAAGTCCCTTAGAATGGCCAGTGATCTACCCAAGGTAAGTTCTGATCCCATTCAATCATTTAGCCAACTTTTACGATTTTCTTTAAAACGCCAGCATTTTTTCCTGCTCGGTAGAAAAAAATTGGTATTTCATTGGTCTCCAAAGCAATAGCCAATGACAGCCTGTTGCTATTATTGTTTTGATAAAACACTGAAGCTAAAAGATGGTTCTTGCGATGGCCACCCATTAGAACTAATCCATATATTCGGGGGGGGGTGGGAACCACATGGAACAGTGGTCCTCCTGAGACCATACTATTCCAAAATGGGAGTTAGGGGACCATCCTCTGACAGAGAAGAACTTTCTCATATGGATACTTCCCTGTATAAAACCCCCCCTCCTTTCACACTGAAAGTGAGCGCACCCAGCAGAACATTTCCAAAGAAGAATCACACATTAACAAAGCTTCCTTAATGCACGCAAAGCTGCCTTGTACTGAATAGGGCCATTGGTTCATCAAGGTCAGTATTGTCTACTCAGACGGGCAGCAGCTCTCGAGGGTCTCAGGCGGAGGTCTTTCACATCACCTACTGCCTGGTCTGTTTACCAGGAGATGCTGGGGATTGAACCTGGGACCCTCCGTATGCCAAGCAGATGCTCTGCCACTGAGCCACGGCCCTCACACTTCTCATTATGTATTTGTGATGCTTGCATCTCAAAATGTGCATACTGCAAAACATCCTACCTGAAACCAATCAATAGTACAGCAGTTAACAAGAGCCGGGAATTTTCGAAGGCGATTACGGAATGCATCTCCAATGGGACTCATGGCCAATACAATATGCAGTTGGTCTCGGCAGCGGTCGATGAACATGTTGAACAGGGCAATGGGACTGCCATCTGTTTGCTTTGTCTTGTCTCGCTGGCGGTCTATCTGACGCATCTTTTCACATATTTCTTGCTTCTCGTCTACGGCAAAGAGATTCGGTACTTCTCCAGCATTCAGCAAGTTGTTTATGTCCTCTAGAAATGACTCCCTTTTGATCTGGGTGTCAGTGAATAAGAAAACTCCTTGCATCTCGCCTTCGGTGGACCTCCGTAAGATGACTTTTAGGTCCTCATGCCATTCATTGGTTCCATAGCTCTTTGATATTTCGACCTGGAAAGGCGTATAATCGGCCATATGAGCAGCTAAACGAGTGAGGGATTGCCTCCCACTTCCTCCAACGCCAACCAGAAGGGCGTGGCTACGAGGCTGCTTCAAAATTCGGGAAATTCGGCAGACGTGTTCTATGGCAAATCGGAATAAAACCAACTGCATGGGCTTCTTGGTCATGTTATTGTATTCCTCCAGGTGGCTCTCTACAACAGTTCTCAATTCATCCACACCGAAGACCTCTCTGTAGTTTGTGTCCTCCCTTTTAGAATCATGGAAATCACAGAACATCAGACTCCGCAAATCGTCTTCTTCCACTACCCCGTCGTAATTGAAATCCAGTCTCTCAAAAAGTTCGTTGAAGTCGTCTTTCATGTCCTTTTCCACTACTCTCTGAATGCATCTGACAAGCCAAGATCGATCGGCTTTATCTACTAAACGATCGTAATATACTCTAAGGACCTGTGCAAGACATGACAGTATGATCACTGGAGTAACTGATGAGGCATTCCAGTCACAAACACAAAAAAGAAAAGTACCTCCTCTCTATGATGTGAAATTAAGGTTGCAAAGCAACATGAACAAAATTTGAACATCTGACCAACTTTATGAAAAATTTATATATCCTATCACTAGAGATGTAAAATTTCCAAAAATTTTGAAGCTCGGGAAAAAAACCGGGTTTTTCCCAGTTTTTTCGGGGGGAACGGAAATTTTCATAAAAATTGAAAAAAATGCTACATTCGCATTTCTTTTGTCTTTTCTAGATTGAAAGTCATTCTGTTACTTTAGGAACATAAAATATGACTATGGACATTTTTACTTGGCATGAAATTATCACAACTAGCATATTAAAAATATAGTGTATCCAAACAATTATTACAAACAGAATACCCACCCACATGCAAAAACAAAACTGAAACCTTCCTCTTTTCTTGTGACGGTAGCACCTCCTAAAGGAAGAAATGCATCTTGTTCTTGCATTGGAGAGTTCAGTTGGTAACCTAGGACTTGCTTGTCCTCAGTGCACAGAAATTAGATCAATCTGATACCATATATATATATTCTACTTTGTCGGAAAAAAACAAAAAGGCTTCAGGAAAAAAAATGGAAAAAACCCATTTCCCCCTCCCCCCCGAATTTTTCCGTTTTTTTCCCGGGCCTTCACATCTCTACCTATCACCAAACTCTACATTGATTGGCATGAACCAGGTGAAGACATACACAAACATTAAGATCTCTAAAAGAAAAAGATACATAGTGGCCTATGTAATTCTATAGGGGAATACAACTTCAAAAACTTCAGAAAACTGGTCATTCATTTTCATCTAGAATGTCTGTGCTCATTTGGTAGAAGCCAGGAAAAGCTGAAGCTACAGTGACAGGCAAGCTTCTGAGTTACACAAAACAAGTAGAGAAAACATATATTTACTTAATTTTATAGCCCACTCCACCTCAAGATTTGATATGGGTAATTTTTTAAAAGCATAATTTTTCAATCAAGGAGAGGGGTGGGGTACAACAGGATACTGCATTAAAGTATCATTTTGACATCTCTCCTTCTCAAATGCTATAAGCCAATCCAAACAAATAAACCTTAGTGCTTCTAAACGCTGCTCAGGCCTGTACTTAGGCAAATTTCCAGAGGAAGATATTTTCACTGTCGACTTCTCCGTGTCACTAGTTAAGGGGGTATCCTCAGCTGACCCGTCATGTCAGATTGCAGTGGGGTACGTACAACTAGAACAAGATGCGCCCGTTTGTCCTAAGTCAATTCAATTTAGGCCCAACAAAGAAACTGTCTAATATATTTTGTGTGTAGAACAGAGCAAGAGTCCAGCAGCACCTTAATGACCAACAAAATTTGTGGCAGGCTATGAGCTTTCGTGAGTCACTGCTCACTTCTGAAGAAGTGTAATTTTAACTATGTGTAACTTTATATATGAGGGCCTTACTTGGTAACTGAAACAACAGGCACGTCACCAAACAAAATCATCTAGATCAGGGGTGTCAAACATGCGGCCTGGGGGCCAGACCAGGCCCCCGGAGGGTTTCCATCAGGCCCACCGTGAAACTGACCATCTCCTGCTTCCAGTTCTGCTGCTGCATCATCGCTTGCTTCGCCAGACTCTCTTAATCGCTCAGCCATTTCATGGTTTAACCTGGGTCCTAGACTCAGAACTCTGAGCATGAGATTTCTGTGGTGAGTGTCAATAAACCAAAAGTAGGTTTGCAGCTTACAGAGCTAATGTTTTAAGCGTGTTTTTATTTTAAGTAAAAAAATATTTGTGTTTGTGTCCTTTATAAAATGTATATCTCCGCTACCTGGCATTACATTTTATGACTCACATGGCCCGGCCCAATAAGGTCTCATTTATGGCAGATCCGGCCCTCATAACAAATGAGTTCAACAACCCCTGATCTAGATGCTCATGAGTTTTGTTAAGCGCGTGTTAATCTTCATACTGGAAAACGTCTATCCTGGCTTATACGAAGTGAAACAATTAAAAAGCAAAGGAGTTTTAAAATGAAAGCGCAGATTTCTAATTTCAGTACTAGAGACTACCTTACACAAAATGTGAGGAATTTCTCATTTGTAGCCCTCCCCCCCCCCCCACCCCCCTACCACTATGTATAACATTATCTACATATTTGACAAAGCAGTCAGAAGAATCCACTAAATTGTACTAGAAGAAAATATATTTTTATCATGTCAAGGCACAAACTTTCAGCTATTTTCTGACAGGGAGTTTACCTCATGAACCCAAAGGCGTTTTATTACTCCCGGAGATTCTGTTGTTTCAGGTCTCGACAGACAAACGCCTTGAATCACCCGAGAGAAATCGCGCAAGTTGAACAAGTAGTGCGATTTCGTCGGAGTGGGAAGCAAGTTCTCCATTGCCTCTTTATATACGGTCATGGTGCTATTGATAATCTGCTCAGTCAGTTCAACACATTCTGGAGGGAAGCTGTAGCTGTTCGTTGAAAGAAAACACAAGAAACCAAATGACTGGTACTATGCAAAATCTAATTTTAATATTTTCCCACATTTGCTGGGAACATGAGGCTGTCAGACAAGTCAGGCAAAAGTTAATTAGCAGCTCGAGTTGAAGATTTCAAAACACACACGACAAATCGATTCCAATCGTACTTGCCTGTTACGCTATTCTAATGTTTAGAATAGGAATTCTGAGTGGTAATCAATGCTCCCTCTCAGCTGTGGAATCTTGGGAGCAAGAATTCTACTTTGTGAGCTACTGGCATTAAAGTTGTGAGCGAGCGATTTACCTGCTGCGTAAATTAGTTTGCGCTGAAGCCATCCTTCCCGAGCTAAGACAAAAATGTGTCAGCTGGAGGCTAAAAAACTGTGAGCTAGCTCACACTAACTCAGCTTAGAGGGAACACTGAAATCAACAGCTGTGAGAGAACTTGTGACTGACCCAAGGTCACACCAGCAGCTGCATGTGGAGGAGTGGGGGATCAAACCCGGTTCTCCCAGATTAGAGTCAGCGCACTTAACCACGACACCAAACTGACTCGATAAAAACGATATAAATAAAACAACAATTATAAAAACCCATAAAAGATCACAATTTAAAACTTCCCATTAGGACTGCCAGTAAATAAAAACTAAATCGGTCAAATGCAGTCCTAAGTAACACCATCTTCAGCTTCCTCCTGAAGATCGGCAGTGAGGGGGCCGGGCACAGATCCCGGGGGGGGGGAAGGGGGGAGTTTGTTCCATAATTGTGGGGCTGCCACCGAAAAGGCTCCCTCTCTCTCATACACCCACCATATGAGCTTCTGTGATTGGTGGGACAGTCAGGAGGGCCTCTCCCTGCTATCATAATTCTTAGGAATGCATGGGAACGTACTTCCCTTTATCCTTCATGGATGAGTTCTAAGGACCAAGCTACATGGTCCAAGCTACAAGAGCCAGTTTGGTGTAGTGGTTAAGTGCACGGCCTCTAATCTGGGAGAACCGGGTTTGATTCCCCACTCCTCCACTTGCACCTGGCCGGATGACCTTGGGCAAGCCGTAGTTCTGATAAGAGCTGTTCTTGAAAAAGAGCCGTTTCTGTCAAGAGCTCTCCCGGCCCCACCTACCCCGGTGTCTGTTGTGGGGAGGGGAAGGGAAAGGAGTTTGTAAGCCGCTCTGAGACACCTTTGGGTAACACCAAAGGGCGTGGTATAAATCCAATCTCTTCTTCTTCTTCTTCTTCTATGCCCAAGACATGCCATGGCTGGACTCACAGACATACAGACAGACATTGGGGGAATTCAGCTTAAAAACTGTTCGTCCTGTCCACACTGTGAGGGAGAACTGTGAAGGAGGAGAAGAAGCATCCGGGCTTTTTCTCTGGCATAGCTTGTCGGTCCCAGGGCACACGGAGCCAGAGAAAAGGGGAGAAAACATCCACCCTTCTCCCTTTCTGCTGTCGAAAGCGGGGTGGGAGGGAAACAGAAAGGGCCTTCTCCCTCCTCGGAGATCTCCCTTGCAGCTCTGAGCAAACGAGCATTCCTTAAGGCGAGTTCCCCTGATGCGTGGCCGTCTGGCTGCACACCTGTGAAACAGGACATATTTGGCATATTGTGTAGTTACACCCTGTGGCCCTAGCACCTGAATGGGCAAAGCCACTTGGTCAGGTGAGTGACCAAAATGACACAGGCTAGCTTTCAAGTTCCCCACAGCTCTTCGACATCAAAATGTTGACAAGCTCGAGCGTGCCTAGAAGAGGGCCACCGGGATGGTGAGAGGGTTGGAGTCTAAGTCTTACGAGGAAAGGCTGAAAGAGCTGGGTCTGTTTAGCCTGGGAAAGAGAAGGCCTAGAGGGGACAGGATTGCAGTCTTCAAATACTTGAAGGGCTGGCGTGTAGAAGATGGAGCAGATCTATTATCTCTCACTCCGGATTGCAAGACTAGGTCTAATGGGTGGAAATTACAAGGGAGTCGATGCAGCCTCAATATCAGGAGAAACTTCCTGACTGCCAGAGTGGTTGAGCAGTGGAACAGTCTGCCTCGGGAGGTGGTGGATGATCTTTCACTGGATGTTTCCAAGCGGAGGCTGGATGACCATCTTTCGGGTAGGCTGCAGGGCTATCTTTCGGCTATGCTCCTGCAGAGTGCGGGGGGGTTGGACTCAATGACCTGCAAGGCCCCTTCCAACTCTAACATTCTATGATTCTATGATTTTATGTTAACATAGAAACAAAAAATTAAGAAAAGAGGGCATGGGGGTGGTTGAAGAAGGTGGCTGGCCATGATGAACACATAAAGCTGCCTTATACTGAATCGGACCGTCGGTCCATCAAAGTCAGTACCATCTACTCAGACTGGCAACAGCTCTCCAACGTCCCAGGAAAAAGGTCTTTCACATCACCTCCTGCCTAATTCTTTTTACCTGGAGATGCTGCCGGGGATTGAACCTGGGACCTTCTGCATGCCAAGCAGATGCTCTACCACTGAGCCATGCCCCCCAAAAGCCCTATTCAGCAGTTTGTAAGTGGCTCAGAACGGAACGGACGATGTGGTTTGCAGACTTAATAAGATTTGACAGGCCCCTCCATACGCAAAACATATTTCCAAGCTGCACCAAGGAATACTGGGAAATAGAAGCCGGAATGGCTGTTCTGCCCTTAAAAGTCAGCAGTCGTCTGGAACTGTCTTTAGCATTAATCAGAACATGCAGGTCCCTTGGGATGAAGCATGGTAGTCTATGTTGGTGAAGACGGGAAAAGTAAGGTACAGAGGCCATGAAAGTCGAATTACCCAGGGGTTGGTAGGAATAGTTGTTTTATATGTCCAGAACTCCTTTCTTCTGGAAGGCTGCCAAACTCAACCATCTTATTGAAGCAATGGAACACTTTCGCAGTTATGTCAGAATTTACAAATTGGAATAAGCAGAACTGGGTTATTTTCATTTTACAGCACATTGGTGTGTATCCAACAACTTCTTTCCATTAAGGTGGATTCGATTACTCTCTTGTGCTACATCTTTCTCCAGTGGAGAAAGGCTTGCTGGAATGGTGTCCCCTGCATCCAACCCATAGTATGTAGGTGTCACTGGATCCAACACATAATATGTAGTTTTATTTAATTGGTGTGTGTGTGTGTAAAATGCCATCAAGTTGCAGCCAACTCATGGTGACCCCTTAGAGTTTCCAAGGCAAGAAAGGAATAGAGATGGTTTCCCATTGCCCCAGGTCAAGTTATAGAGCTAATAAATATGAAAGAGATTCTGAAATAAGTAATTGTCACCTAAGTATTATCTTGGCCATCCTAAATGCCTCCAAAATAAATTATAAAGAGTCCATTCTATCAAGAGCAAGGCCATAGAGAGATTTCTTCATAGGCAAGCAACAGATGCGTTTGCAAAGGGTTGGATCCACCTTGCACTCATGGAAGCTTGCCTTCAATATGGACACCTTTGGATGCTGTGGTTTGAATCAAGTCCACTAATTATTTGAACAATTCACAATATACCCATGTAACCTACCATACGGTGAGATGCCAGTCTAGTATTCTGGAGAAAATTGTATACATCGAAGCATCATCAAATTCATTAATGGTAATGGTATTGAAGTGTCGTAAAAATCGAGGAGTGACTGGGTTTCGGCCTCCACCTATTGTTCAGAAGCACAAAAACAAATAAAATATTGCACATGCCAATATTCTACATATACTGAACACTTCCCAGTCATAGATCTAGATGGGTGTCTACAGCACATATATAAATTGAGAAGAACTTATGCTGTGTTGGCAATGTGCTGTTTACCTTAAAGGAAGAAGCTATCATGAGCTTCCAGTACGTCAGCAGAGGTCCATCAGTGGCTATTAGCCACAAGGTATAGATAGGAACTCTCAGTCTGGGACAAGGGATGCTCTGTATTCTTGGTCTTTGTGGGGGCAGCAGTGGGAGGGCTTCTAGTGTCCTGGCCCCACTGCTGGACCTCCTGATGGCACCTGGTATTTTTGGCCTCTGTGTGATAGAGTGTTGGACTAGATGGGCCATTGGCCTGATCCAACATTGGCTTCTCTTGCGTTCTTGTGTTCTTAATGTGCAGAAGCCCAGTCCTTACACCCTTACACCCAGTTTGGTGTAGTGGTTAAGTGCGCGGACTCTGATCTGGGAGAACTGGGTTTGATTCCCCACTCCTCCACTTGCACCTGGCTGGATGACCTTGGGCAAGCTGTACTTATGATAAAAGCTGTCCTTGAAAAAGAGCAGTTTCTGTCAAGAGCTCTCTCAGCCCCACCGACCTCACAGGGTGTCTGTTGTGGGGAGGGGAAGGGAAAGGAGTTTGTAAGCCGCTCTGAGACACCTTTGGGTAGTGAAGGGCGGGGAATAAATCCAATCTCTTCTTCTCTTCATAAGCACTAAGGACAGCATCTAGTACTACAGTGACACCACAGGTAGACTGACTAGTACAAATATTTAGGATTGTCTAGTAAATACAAAACAGGATGTGATGAGTCGGAGATCTATATGTTTGAACATGAATTTTCCATAAGAATATGGAAAGTAAGGGCTGGGGGGGACTCTCCATACAGCTTCAAAAGGCTACATATAGAACTTCTTCCTACTTTTGTGCTAGAAAGATCTCCTTTATGCATTTATGGTTGAGGGCAGCAGAACCCTAAACAAGCCCGTGGCTTCTTTTCACAAGAGCTTTTCTACATAGCTGAGCTCAGATAAGAACATGAAGAAGAAGAAGAGACTGGATTTACACCCCATCCTTCACTACCCAAGGGTGTCTCAGAGTGGCTTACAAACTCCTTTCCCTTCCCCTCCCCACAACAGACACCCTGTGAGGTTGGTGGGGCTGAGAGAGCTCTTGACAGAAACTGCTCTTTTTCAAGGACAGCTTTTATCATAAGTACAGCTTGCCCAAGGTCATCCAGCCAGTTGCAAGTGGAGGAGTGGGGAATCAAACCCGGTTCTCCCAGATTAGAGTCCGCGCACTTAACCACTACACCAAACTGGCTCTGGATCAGACTGGATCTGCTGGATCAGACCCCAGACCCACATAGCCCAGCGTTCTCTTCACACAGCAGCCAACCAGCGGCCTCTGTGAAGCCCACAGACGGGAAGGCTGCAACCGCATCGTCTTGCCTGTGCTCCTCAACACCTGATTTAAGGAGGCAAAGTACCTCCTTAACCCACCATGGTTAGTAGCCACTGATAGCCCAGTCCTCTATGATTTTGACTGTTCCCCTTCGAAAGCCTTCCGGGTTGGCGGCCAAGACCACAGCGAGTTCCAAAACTTAACTATACGCTACGTGAAGAAATGCTTCCTTTTGTTTCTCCGGAATCTGCCACTCTTCATCTTCAGGGCATGAGCCCAGGTTCTAGTATCATGGGCAGGGGTCATTTCCTGCAGGAGCGCACAGGAGCGGAGCTCCGGCAGTAAAGAGCCCAGGGGGCGGGCACATGCAACAAGCCCCACCCCCTGCTTTCAACAGCCCTCAGTCAGAGCAAGAAGCAGCCAGGTAAGCTGCAGAGCCAACTGGTCCAAAACAGTCCAGTGGCACCTTTAAGACCAAGTTTTATTCAGGTACAAGCTCTCCCTCCTCTGCGAGGACAGATCTGCACGTTCCCCCCCCCCAATAGCTAGCAATCCAAAACAGTCCAGTGGAGCCTGAGCGGTGGGTGTTGCCTTCTGACACACTTCCGGGGATGTCAGGGGGTGTGGCATATGCAAATGAGTTATGCTAATGAGTTATGCTAATGAGCTCCTGCTCCTCTTTTTCTACGAAATGACCCCTGATCATGGGAGAAGGTGAAACCTTTCTCCCTCTCCACTCTCTCCACACCACGCGTAATTTCATAGACCTCTATCACGTCTCTTCTTACTTGCCTTTTTTACAGGCAAAACAGCCCTAAGCTTTTTAACTGATCCTCTTAGGTTGTCGAAGGCTTTCATGGCCGGAGTTCATTAGTTGCTGCAGTGTTTCCGGGCTGTATGTATACCTCTGAGGATGCCAGTCACAGCTGCTGGCGAAACGTCAGGTCCTACAATGCCAAGACCACGGCCAGACACCCCGGAAAATCTACAACAGTTAATGATCCTTTTAGGGCAGCTATTTTATGGTTTTATCGTGTCATAATTTTTACTACATTTCATACCGACATTCATATTTATAGCACCCCTCTCTGTTGTTATCCTTGCTTTGTAATGGCCTGCAGCTAAATAGAAATAAATTCCTATTTCATTTCATAGGGCGGCTGCTCTAGCCCCCGGATCGTTTGGGTCGCTCTTTTCTGCACCTTTTTCAAGCTCGGCAATTCCCCTTTTCAGGCGAGGTGACCAGAACTGTAGACGATATTCCAAGTGTCTTCTCACCGCAGAAGGGCAGTGCGATAACGGCAGTTTTATTCTCTGCTTCTCTGGTGATTACGGCCAGCGTGGAACTTGCCTTTTTTTCACAGCAGCCGCACTGTGGGTTGGCATTTTCACATACTGGAGGCAATCTCAGCTGAGAGGGAAAAATGCTCAGACAGAGAGGCTGTGGCGGGGAGGTAAGTGGCAGATGGTGGTTGGTTTCCTGTTCCTCCAATGCCTGCCTCTCCTGTTAACAGTGCCCGTCTGTCTCCCTCACTCTACGTAATTTCAGATGCCATTGGCAGGGCCAGGGGAAGAACAGGCGGGAGCTAAACACGACAATCCTGCCTGGCGTGAGACGGGGGTCTCCTTCCCAAGGCCGTTTCCGTGTTATGTTTTTCCCCGTCAAGACATTTTCCCCATTAAGATGTTTCCCTCCCCAAGCCTGTTTCCCTGTTACATTTTTTCCCATTAAATTTTCATTGCTTTCCACACAGGGTAGTAAACATAGCGACAAACAAACCCTATGTAACCCTACCACCCACCCTCTTTCCCAACAAAGCCCAACAATAAGGGAAGAAAGTAAGAATCATAGAATCACAGAGTTGGAAGGGACCTCCAGGGTCATCTAGTCCAACCCCCTGCACAACGCAGGAAATTCACAAATACCTTCCCTCCCCCCCCCCCACACCCACACACAGTGACCGCTGTTCCACATCCAGAATAGAAATCCCTATTATATTAGGGAAGGGAATTGAAAACCAATCAGCCAGTATCATAATGCCCCTGTATAAATCAATGGTGCGACCTCATTTGGAATACTGTGTACAGTTCTGGTCACCACACCTCAAAAAGGATATTCTAGCATTGGAAAAAGTGCAGAAAAGGGCAACTCGAATGATAAAAGGGCCAGAACACTTTCCCTATGAAGAAAAGTTAAAACGCTTGGGGCTCTTTAGCTTGGAGAAACGATGGCTGAGGGGCGACATGATTGAGGTTTATAAGATTATGCATGGGATAGAGCAGGTTGAGAAAGAAGTCCTTTTCTCCTTTTCTCACAATACAAGAACTCGTGAGCACTCAATGAAATTGCTGAACAGTTGGGTTAGAACGGATAAAATCACTCTTCACCCAAAGAGTGATTAACACATGGAACTTAGTGCCACAGGAGGTGGTGGCAGCGACAAGCATGGACGGCTTCAAGAAAGAATTAGATAAACATATGAAGCAGAGGTCCATCAGTGGCTATTAGCCACAAGGTATGGATAGGGACTCTCGGTCTGGGGCAAGGGATGCTCTGTATTCTTGGTGCATGGGGGGGGCAACAGTGGGAGGGCTTCTGGAGTTCTGGTCCCACTGCTGGACCTCCTGATGGCACCTGGTATTTTTGGCCACTGTGTGACACAGAGTGTTGGATTGGATGGGCCATTGGCCTGATCAAACATTGGCTTCTCTTATGTTATTATAGCGGGGGGGGAATCTTATTTGTGAACAGACAATATATCGGGGCCTTTGGTAAAAATGGTCTGGAATCAACTGACTTCCTAAAATTAGGGTCGCTTGCTTACTTGTCAGCAAGTGCACTTGAGACACTAACAGTCCTTGTATTCAGTAACTTACTTCCTAAAGAATATCCAGAAAGACATTTATTCTTGCATGAGCGGTTGAGATTTATTCTGAAATGCAGGGGGTTGTACCTGGTGGCCCCATGGCACAGATGATTTGTGTGTCCACCAGTTTAATGATAGAGCAGTCTTTCAGGTCATACCAGTTCCGGTGATCTAACCACTGCCGAAGTAACTCCACTGGAGGCTGGGCGCCATATACCTCTCGTGCTGGCATGTTGACGTCATCAACAAACACAACCTGAGAACAAACAAACAAACAAACAAAAACCCTTCTTTTTCAACTAATTCTGGACACTGGCAGTGCCTCTGAGCATGTACAGAGGGAGCACCCTTCTTTTTCAACTAATTCTGGACACTGTGTAAAGCAAGGCAATGCCTCTGAGCATGTACAGAGGAAGCTTCCCCCATACCAAGTAATCATAACCAAATCTGCTTGTGCACGCACGCACGCGCACGCACACACACACACACACCTTCATTTCTCTAAAACCAGAGGGCAAATTTTCAGGGCAAAATAGTTCTGGTTCTGGAAGAGTGAAGACAGCAGGTTGAGATTATCAGGTTGAAAACCAAATGTCCTAAGGGAACCCGCAATAAGTGGTTTATTGAGACTGCGGCCTTATTTCTTTGCTAAAAGTTTACCATTTTCTTCCCGAGAGGGGGGCCGAAGACTTTTTTCCGCCTTTTGTCCAGCTTGGACATAATAATATTTTGCGTCTGGGCAGCCGTCGTCTGTGCCGAGAAGTTAATGAGCAGGGGTTTGTAGATTTCCTTATTTACGCGGTTTAGAAGAAAATCCTGTAAGGGTGGTTTCAAAAAGGAGGACACAGAAAGAGAAAGAGAGAGAAGATCACATGAGCATAAAAATCTGACAGTTTATAGCACCCAGCCAAAAGACACAAAGCCCTGTCTTTATGGCCAGCCATCTAAAGCGGGGTGGTTTTTTTCACATCAAATTTGCGAGCTGTCCTGCTTCTGAAGTGATGAGGCGATAACGAATCCACAGCCGTTAACGTTCACTGCTCTTTAATGAGGTTCCTCCAGAAATAAACCAGGGTGATTCAAAACTTTTAGGACCCGTACTTTTGAAAGAACAAAAGGTAATACGTCAGGGACATTTCGCAACATTATCACAGACTTTTAAACTAGTTAATCTACATTGTATTAGCTCACAGAGCATGGGCCTCGTTAAGTAATTCGCTCGTTATGAACTCATTCCGAGCCTCCCCCTCTGAGATTCTGGTGGGGTTTATGCTTTTGTAGAAGATCAGCCTGAAGAAAATCTTTTTGCGTAGACCATGAACATCCAAAGAATCAGTGAACTACCAAACACGGTATCCTGCCTATTAAGAAAACTTTACAGCCAACTTATGTTCTTCCAAGCTGTACAAGATCAGCCTGAAGAAAATCTTTTTGCGTTTTATTGTTTTAACTGTTATAATGTTTTATCGTGTTTTAATGTTTAATGTTTTAAACTGAAATTGTATTTATTTTAATGATGTTACCCGCCCTGAGCCCGCCTGCGGGATGGGCAGGATATAAATGCAAATAAATAAATAAAATAGAAGATACAGCCACTGACTGTTCCCTGGAAGGCCAGATAATGAAACTGAAGCTCAAATACTTTGGCCACCCAATGAGAAGGGAGCACTCACTGGAGAAGGAGACACCGATGCTGGGAAAGACTGAAGGTCAAAGAAGACGGGGACGGCAAAGGTTGAGATGGTTAGACAGTGTCATAGATGCAACGGACATGAAGTTGAGCAAACTTCAGAGGACGGCGGAAGAACGGAAGGCCTGGCGTGAGCTGGTCCATGGGGTCGCGAAGAGTCGGACTCGACTGTGCGACTGAACAACAACAACAGCCACTGAAAGCAAAGACTTCCATCTGTATTGCATGGTATCATGGATGCCTGCATCTCCTTATACCAGGGGTCCCCAACCCTTTTGAGTCTGCGGGGATATTTGGAATTCTGACTCGGCACGGTGGGCCCAGCAACAAAATGGCTACCGCGGGAGGTGGAGTCAGACGCGAAACGATTGCTGCAGCTTAACTTCAGTGTAGATCCTTGTGCTGTGCTGATAGCTGCTGCCAAAGTGACGTTTTTAAAAATCTGTACAGCCAACCAAATCTCACGTGGCCCATCAGAACCCTTGCTGGACAACAGCCCTATCTGGCCCCACCCACAAGAAGAAGAAGAAGAGAAGGAGGAGGAGGAGATTGGATTTATACCCCGCCCTTCACTCGGAGTCTCAGAGCGGCTTACAGTCTCCTTTCCCTTCCCCTCCCCACAACAGACACCCTGTGAGGCGGGTGGGGCTGAGGGAGCTCTATGGAGAACTGCCCTTTCAAGGACAGCTCTGACAAAACTATGGCTTGTATATGCGGTATGAATGGGCCCTTATTTGTAATTTTAATTTGTGTTCAATAAATATATGTATATTTTTGTACGTTCCATAATTAGATTTTTAGAGTTGGCCCTCTTCTATTCTTGACTAAGCTTTTTAAGGTTCTGAATTGCCCAGGGTCACACCAGCAGCTGCAAGTGAAGGAGTGGGGAATCAAACCTGGTTTTCCCAGATTAGAGTCCGCAGACTTAACCACTTCAACCAAACACTAAAAACACTTGTTGGGCACCAGAAAAGTTGTCAATGGATGGCATGACACCAGCAGACACCACGCTGGGGAGCCCATATATCTATATGCCACAGAGTCCACCCTCCAAAGCATACATTTTCTCCAGGGAAACTGATCTCTGTAGTCCGGAGATGAGCTGTAATTCCGGGTGATCCCCAGGTCGAACCTGGAGGCTGGCATCCCTGCATGACACCAAACATTCCTGGTCTTTACAAAGATAAACAAAACATAAACAAAACACAGAAAAACCCAACCAAAACACAAGAGTCTCGTTTCTGGTGGCAGCTCCATCGCTGTTAGAATGTTCCGTTTCAGACTCAGACGTTAGCATAGGTGAAGCCATGCAAGTTTCTTCTAATCAGCACAAATTAATATTTAATTTTCACCAAGGATAATTCTCTGACTAAATACATAAGCGTGGCTTTGGTGTTTCCCCTGAACCTCAGATCCTGTGTTACCAATATTTTATCAGGGTGATAAATCAAAGCCGCATTAAAGAGTAATTAAATTAAAGCCATTTACAGCCTTTCATTGCGAAAAATAATTTTCCAGTTTAGTTACTTTCTGTTCACCGGAGTAAATTTCCAAATATCAGAATCAGCAAAATGATCGTAGGAAGCCACTTTCCACTGAAGAGCCAATCTAATTATGCGTACCAGTAATGCACGGAGTAATTGCATTAATAAAAATCCATTTATGGTGAATGAAGGCACAGAGAAAACTCATTTGCAGGACGACAATAATTACTGAGGGTTTTGTAAGCATCTGATTGAGACCATAGTGATTATTTTTTAGTGAAGAAGTTTATAATTTTAAGTCACACAGATAAGGGAATAGGGAAAAAGCAAGAATCCAGTAGCACTTTAAAGACTAACCAAATCTGTGGCGGGGGATGCACTTCCGTGAGTCACTGCTCCACTTCTTCAGATACAGGTAGAATGTGAGTCCATCTGAAATCACTCCTGTCTCCAAGATATGAGGACAGATGGACTCACATTCTACCTGTATCTGAAGACTCACGAAAGCTCCTAACCGGCCACAAATTTTGTCAGTCTTTAAGGTGCCACTGGACTCTTGCTCTTTTCTACTGCTACGGACAGACTAACATGGGTACCCGTCTTGATCTATCTCCAGGTAAGGGAGTGGAACTCAAAATGACTCCATAGAAGGCCAGCACGATTCTTTGAATATGAACTATACTTATCTTTCCGAAGGTAAGTAATCATATTGCAAAGAAACCTCTATTCATATTCAGGCAAAGGAACCTTGTGCCTAGTCATGAGGGTAAGATTTTTTTGTGTGTTATTTACTGTACAGAATTCTTTCCCCACTTCCTGTCCTCAAAAGGGCCACCCAGGTGACTATGAAATCAAACCATACATAATAAAATCTCACCTTGAAAGATATTACAACCAACAAACAAACATGCTAGTCATTAAAACACCTAATCGATAAAGCCACAAGGTACAGATAGGAACTCTGGGACAAGGGATGCTCTGTATTCTGGGTGCTTGGGTGGGGGGGCAACAGTGGGAGGGCTTCTGGTGTCCTGGCCCCACTGGGGGACCTCCTGGTGGCACCTGGTATTTCTGGCCACTGTGTGACACAGAGGGTTGGACGGGATGGGCCTTTGGCCTGATCCAACATTGGCTTCTCTTATGTTGTTATGTTATGTTATGTTATGTTATGTTATGTTATGTTATGTTATGTTATGTTATGTTATGTTTTATGTTTTATGTTTTATGTTTTTGTTATGTTATGTTATGTTTTATGTTATGTTATGTTATGTTATGTTATGTTTTATGTTTTATGTTTTTTGTTATGTTATGTTATATGTTATGTTATGTTATGTTTTATGTTTTTTGTTATGTTATGTTATGTTATGTTATGTTATGTTATGTTATGTTACGTTATGTTATGTTTTATGTTATGTTTTATGTTTTATGTTATGTTATGTTCTTAAAGCAATTAAAACCAGAGGTAAAAATATATACAAAAACATTTTTTTTTAAATCAGAACATCGGGGAGGGAATGCCAAACTAAATGGAAACAGAGAAGTCTTCACCTGCCGACGGAAGACAGCAACAGAAGGGGGACAGGCAAATCGGCCTGGGGAGAGAGTTCCAGGTTTTTGGTGCCACGACCGAGAAGGCCCTCCGCCCAGGTTTGCTGTCCACCTGTTTGAAAAAGCGGGAGAACCCGAAAAGGGGCCTCCAAACGTGACCACAGTGCTGGGGTAGGTTTAGTGAAATGGAATAAGGAATCTGTTTTTTTCTGGAGCGACTCATTCTCTTGACATTCTGGACCGACTCCCACTAGTCCAATAAAATGCATGAGTGTCAAGCAGGGGCGGGTGGGCTCCATAATTTGCAGAGAACGTTCTCAATGGGCCACTAGCCTGGACGGCTGCTGACACCCAGAAGCAAGCGGGGCCAAGCCCCGGTAACTCTGGCAGCGTTTCGGGAAGCGTTCGGCTTGTGTCTGGATGGCAACACCCACCATTAGTGTTGTCGTTGTTATGCATTTATCTGCAAAGGCCACCAAGGCAGCTACCAATTTAAAACATACATGATAAAAATGATGTTAGGAAACAATTAAAACCACCCCCACCCAAAACAGACACCATTAAAACAATTTAAAAAGAGAGAGAATAAAAACTGAGTTAAAATACCTACAAAGCAGTTAAAATACATCCAAAACATCAAAACATTGGTTAGGAAGGAGGGGTCATTGAGGGAGTGCCAAACGACACAAAGGTGGTGGTGTTGGGTCCCAAACCATGACGGGCTTTGTAGGTCAAGACAAGCACCTTGAATTGTGCCTGGAAACAAACTGGACGCCAGTGTAGATGGGCCAAGACTGGAGCGATGTGGTGGTGCTGGCTCACGGCTGCCAGCCGCACTGCAGTGAAGGAGGGAAGCATCAGGGGCACTGCTGGCCAGGTAAGCGCCTCCCCCCACTGCACAGCACTGGACGGTACCCCTGGGGGGCACCTCACCCTGGCTCGTACCTTGGGCCATTTAATTTCCTATCCCCCCCCAAGGAATGAAGAATACTTACTATAATATATACACTCTTGCCGGTTCCCGTTGGCCCCACGAATATGGAGGGCTTCTGATGCATGGTCAACAGCTCCATTAACGCAAAGTATCGGATGGTGTCCAGAGTAGGAACGATGATCTCGTTGAACAGCATGTCCTTCATGATCGGCGGGGCTGATTTAAGGGCTTCCACCCAAGGCTCCCACCGCCCTTCTCCCTGTTTCGAAACACAACACGGAAGGAGAGGAAGGAAGACGGGCGAGAACAAGAAACGATTTTTATAGATGTGTCGCGATCACGTACGGGCCTCGCCGATTGATTCGGGGCAGGTATATTCAGAAGGGCGCCTTGCAGGGGTCATTTCGTGGAAAAAGAGGTGCAGGAGCTCATTAGCATAACTCATTATCCTAACTCATTTGCATATGCCACACCCCCTGACATCACCGGAAGTGTGTCAGAAGGCAACACCCACCGCTCAGGCTCCACTGGACTGTTTTGGATTGCTAGATTTTGGGGGGGGGGAACGTGGAGATCTGTCCTCGCAGAGGAGGGAGAGCTTGTATCTGAATTAAACTTGGTCTTAAAGGTGCCACTGGACTGTTTTGGACCAGGGGGCCGGGAGGGGGGGGCTCTGCAACTTACCTGGCTGCTTCATGCTCTGACAGAGGGCTGCTGGGAGCAGGGGGTGGTGCTTGTTGCATGTGCCCGCCCCCTGGGCTCTTTATTGCCGGAGCTCTGCTCCTGTGCGCTTCTGCAGGAAATGACCCTTGGCGCCATGTGTGCAAATTCTGAATCCACAGGTAGGGTTTCCAGGTTGGGAAATTCCTTGAGATTTAGAAGGTGGGATCTAGGGAGGGTGGGGTTTGGGGAGGGACTTCCATGGGGTATAACGCCATGCAGTCTGTCTTCTACAGCAGCCATTTTCTTCAGGGGAACAAACACACAAAAGTGGAAATACAGCGAATGCGGCTATACAAACCAATAAACAGAATAATCTGTCGTGCTGTACAAATCACACTAGAGACTACTGTCTTCTTATACAGTTCTACTTACAACCAAAATTGATACACAGAACAAATAGTTTTGCCACCAAGCATAAATGACAACTGCACCAATTGAATAGTGACCTAATAGTCCTTGAAAATTGTACAAGTCTCTCTTCAGAATGATGTGGTCACCGGCTCATGGTGCAGAGAAGAGTTTCCAGAAGAAAGCATGCAATAGGCATGAGCTCAGGACGAGCTGTAGTGCGAACCAAAGGGGTGGTGATGGCACGCCTATGTTCTGATTCCTAGCTATTAGGAACATACTGGTAGACTTCGTGTCATTTTGAATCTTGCCAGAGCTGGGATGAGCTCCATCACTAAAGAAAAGTGGCCTGATGGAGCCCTAAGAAACGGCAAAGCAACCTAGACGTACCGTCACCGCTCCTTTGGTTCGCACTACAGCTCGTCCTGAGCTCTGGAGACTCTCCTTTGCACCATGAGCCGGTGACCACATCAAGCTGAAGAGAGACTTGTACTTTCAAGGGCTAATAGGTCGCTGTTCAACTGGTGCAGTTGTCATTTATGCATGGTGGCAAAACTATTTCTGATGTGTATTAATTTTGGTGGTTAAGTAGAACTGTATAAGAAGACAGTCGTCTCTAGTGTGATTTGTACAGTGCAACAGATTATTCTGTTTATTTGTTTGTGTTTTCTCCAGGGGAACAGATCTCCACCGTCTGGAGATCACTGTTGATTCTGGGAGGTCTCTGGGCTCTGCCTGGAGGTTGGCAACCCCACCCACAGAGCTACACACACACACACATACACACACACACACACACAGAGGTCCAGCACAATGTTCCTTTTAAGCTGTGGAGTCTTGTGAGCAAAACTTCTACTTGGTGAGCTGCTGGCATTAAAGTTGTGAGCGAGCGATTGGGCTGCTGCATCAATTAGGTTGCTCTGGAGCCATCCCCTCCTGATTGAAGGCAAAATGTGTGAGCCGGAGGCTAAAAAAACTGTGAGCTGGCGCACACTGACTCAGCTTAGAGGGAACACTGGTCCCAGATCTGATTTGTGGACCAGGCAGATCTTTCTAGACGGTGAAATTCCCTGTTTGGGGAGTTGCGATCCTCATCCGTATTTTCTGCCCTCTTTTCAAAGGCGTGATAAAGGGAGAAAGGCCTCCCTTCAGGACCACGTCCTCCCAAGCAGGTAACCACCAGCTCCAGGGCATCTAAGCACATCTCCAGGAATGGGGTCAGGACTGAGGTCAGAGTCAGTCTATAAGGGTTTGTGTATTCAGTTCTGATGCAAGTACGTTGCTTTTCTGAGTGCTTGCTCTCCGTCCGAGCAGGTACACTACGGATCCCGGTGACATGAACAAAATTCGCATAGATTAAGCTAGCTTTTCCTTAACCAGATTATTCTATTTCTTGGCGCCATTCCAGAGATTTCCAGCCAGGGCAGAAATTCTGGTAAGGTATCGGCACCGATTCCTGAGAACAGGTTTTCAGGCTTTGCGAGGATCAAAATTACAAAATCTTCACCGATTTGGGGCTCATTCCGGCCAAAATTAAGTATTTTTAAAATAACTCTGCTAATTTCAGAGGGAGGTCAGCAAACATTTTATTGTCTTTTTAAGCAGAGGCTAGATGGCCATCTGACAGCAAGGCTGATTCTGTGAACTGAGGCAGACCATGAGAGGGTGGGCAGGAAGGGTTGCCTCAGTGCTTAGTTCTCGTGGCCCTTTCTGACACGCCCAGGGTAATGCCGATTGCCACTCTGGGGTCAGGAAGCAATCTTCCTCCAGGCCAGTTTGGCTGGAAATGCTGGAGGTTTTTTACCTTCCTCTGGGCATAGAGCAGAGGTCACTGGGAGAGTGGGGGGGAGGGTAGTTCTGAATTTTCCTCTGCTGTGCAGGGGGTTGGCCTAGATGACCCCTGAAGTCCCTTCCGGCTCTATGTTTCTTTCCCACTGGAAATAATATTTCTCACGCTGCTCTTCATTATTTCTACATGGACTCCCTAATCCGGTAAGAGCATTAATTTAACCGAGGCCTTAGGAATCAATTTACGCATCTCCACAGAACAGTGATTCAGAACGAGGATGCTCACTTCTTTGATAAACCGGTATTCGTAAACGGTTCCTTCTTCCGGGAAGGGGACGGTGAGGATTTTTGCAGGGATCCGCTCCACGCCGCTCAGCAATTTATATTTGTCTCTGGTCTCCTCGCTCATCGGCCCAGTGAGCAGTTCTCGCACAATCAGATCAAATTTCAGCCGATCGTCCTCCTTGCAGCTGGCTCCGACGGACCATATGAGTGAAAATATAAAAATGCCCTTGGTTGGGGAAGAGGAAAACGGGGGGGGGGGGGGGGGGGGAGT